TGAGATTTCACCTCTGATCATTATTTCACCTCATTATTTTCTGTCTGTATTTTTGTCTCATTCTGTCTCCGTCCCATTCTGTCTTCGTCTCATTCTGTCTTCGTCCCATTCTGTCTCCGTCTCATTCTGTCTTCGTCTCATTCTGTCTTCATCTCATTCTGTCTCCGTCTCATTCTGTCTCTGTCTCATTCTGTCTCTGTCTCCTTCTGTCTCCGTCTCATTCCGAGACAATGATACAGAAGAAATGAACGAAGGAGTCGTGTATCTTACTTTCTACTGTTTCAGACAAATATTCCGTATTTGCTGCTGCAGACTTTTCAAAGTGACAGAAACCAGGAGTAACTTTCGGAGCAGCACTGAAGTGTTGTTGTGTTGAAGGAGACGTGAGACTGCAGCTGGAGACACAAACTGTCTGCTGACGTTGACAGTGAGACGTGGAGTCATTCTCTCCTGGTTCCTGTGGAAAACTGCTCAGACTCCTCCAGTGGTGGGTGAAGCAGCCTGAATGTTTCCAGTGCTCTGATCTGTGGTTTAATCTCCCCTCCGCTCGCAGCCTCCTCCTCTGATCTTCACTTTCTTTTCATCAGACTTCTCCTTCATCTCAGCGAGCGCCCTCAGAAAGCGGCCTGATGAGGAGGAAGCTTCCCTGTGAACGTCTCTCTGCTCCGCAGCTGCTCGATGTGAAGCAGGAGAAAGATTCTCTGTGCTGAAGTAAATCTACGACGTGGGATTCAGGTGAGACGTCCATCTGTCCACCTAGGACAGCGCCAGTGAACTGGACGTGGTGGTGACCTCACAGTAATTAAACATGACGACCATCTTTATTCAGAGTCGTCATCGCTCCATCTCCTGCATCGTCACATGAATTTAACATTTTACTCTCAGGACTCGCCTGGAGCCAGAAAACCCCTTTTTCTTTATCTTTGAAATCTTCCTCTGCCTCGGTCTCATTCCACCAGATGAGTCATTTGTTCCCGAAGCTGTAATCCATCATGGGGAAATTAATTTTCCCATGAAGCCTTTCTGTTTCTCTTGCTGCAGAAACATTTGTCTTTATCGTCCTTCATCAGCAGACGAGCTAAAATAATCCACTTCGTTCTCTCTGTGAAGATGAAAGAATCCTTCTCTCCAGACTTCACCAGGAGCTCGATCTTCTTTAGACCAGCACGAGCAGGAGACCTGGAAGATGGATTGATTGATTGATTGATTGATTGATTGATTGATTGATCGATCGATTGATTGATTGATTGATTGATTGATCGATCGATTGATTGATTGATTGATTGATTGATTGATCGATTGATTGATTGATTGATTGATTGATTGATTTGTGCGACCTCGGGGCAGATGAAGCTGTAGTGAGGAGAACCTCAGCAGCACTGATTTAATGAGGTTCAGGTCTTTCCTTGTAAATCCGTCCTTCTTCTAGCACTTTGTGTATTTATTTTATCAATTCAACTTTCTCAACAGATTTATCGTTAGTTAGTTTATATCACATTTGAGGAGCCAATCAGATTTCAGTCAGTGCCCCTGGACCCGCCCCTGGAACCTCCCCCTATAGCCTGCAGATTAATAATCTATAATATGAATAATCTGGTTCTTACAAACACATTTACACTGTGGTTCTCGTACAGATCCAACACGACTGTTAAGTGAGTAGCAAATTCCTGCTAAGCTAAGCTAAATAATAATTACTCAAGAACGTGATTCTGCTTTTATTCAGATTTAACTTTATAAAACCTGATCAACAGCTGCTCTCGACACTTTCTGAGCTCGATGTCGTCGGAGCTGAAAACACGTGAACGCTCTGAAGAGACGAGTTCCTCCCGTGTTGGATGTGTGTCTGGATTTATCTGATCGGAGACGTCGCTCTCCGCCCGTCCTCCGTCAGGCTGGAATGTGAAGACTGCTGCCGGCCGGAGCATCAGATACTGCTGCATGGACACACACACACACACACACAC